AAATTCCCAATAAAATAAAAACTTCACCATAACAAGCCAAATCAAGAAATAAATCACATTTTCACACACTCATGCCACTTCTAAACATCATATGACCATTATTAGAGGTAGTAGGGTGTTCAAGCAACACTTACCAAGAAATCAAGAGAAAGAGGGATATTGGACACCTTTGATCTTCAAACAAAGTTCACCAATACACTTACTAACACTAGAAGCAAAGTTTTTATGGAGTAGAAACAACTCTAGGCTTTGGTTTGTGGTAGATTGGACCAAGTGGAAGCTTGCAAAATGAAGAAGTTCTTCTCCTTCTTGAGCTTGGGATGGCCGGCCAACACAAGGTAAGAAATGGTAAATTTTTATGATTTTTTTTGAGATATTTAACCCTTGGTCAAGAAAGTCAAAATGATGAATAGTATTTCTTTAAAAGTATCCAATAAGAAGGTGACACTTGTCACCTTCATTAATGCCTTCTTATCTTTCTTTTCTCTCTCACATCAATCACTTCACACACACTACTTATCTCTTAACACCCGATAAATTTATAACAGTATCCGAAACTTAACCTTATTGGCCGAATTTTTTCGAACTTTTCGCACTAGTGGGTCCCACGTCCATTATTTATCCTTAATTTTCTAAAAACTCGCCAATGCTAGAAAAATCATCTTAAAACTATAATTGCTCATAAAATCCTCTCAAAAATATTTCTAAGCCAGAAAATGCAAAATTATGCAATAAAAGGGGAAATAACCCTAGGAAAAATATTAGGGTTTTACGGGCTCTCACAATATGCTCACTTAGAACTTATTCACCTTTAATTCTCGATTAACTTTTCTTAATCTGCTATTGTCCGTTCTTAATTTTCCCAGGATAATCATACTCTCGAATATAATATCACCTTGAAACACTCGTGTTCATTATTTCTCACCTAAACAATCCTCTGAAAAATTGAAGTTGTTAACGGGGCGTTTTAAAAGTATAATGAAGACATTATTCCATACGAATGGATTTAAAATGGTCGTAATAAATTATTTGGGAGAAATAGGTGGTTAAATACTTAATTAAACCATTAATATTCGATAAAAATAAGAAATTTTTCGGGTCTTCACACCTGAGCATAGGATTAGTGGATTGCCTAATGGCATTCTTGTATTCATTCGCTCTTTGCTAACACTTAAGGAAGCTTCAAGAGTGTTGGTTCAAAATTTCAAAATTGCTTGCAATTGGCAATGATTATGGGACATATTTTTCGATTGCAAATTTATTGTAATTATACTATGATAGTTTTTTTTAATTCAGAATATCTTGTTTTTTAGTTCTTTGCATAAGATACGGATGTTGAGAACTTTATTGCATTTTTAAAGTTTAATAAAAAGTTTATTTTTGTCATTTTTCCCTTTACAGCATGACTTTTTCTAGTAGTAGGATGCCATTGGCCTTTTATACTACTTGATTACTTATATAATAATCTTGTAGTTTTCAGTTTGCAATTGAAAATTTGAAAATTTCAGTTTGATTACTTTTTGTAAAAGTTCTTTTCAAGGAATAGGAAGTATAACATAAACAAATATGATAACCTTGCTGATCTATTGGAAATGTTTAGGTTGCAATTCCCAAAATGCAGGTTATCTTCAGCTTTTTGTTTACATTTTTATTTGGAGATTTCTAGTTGGTCTACACCAGTAAAGCATAGGCTTGTAAGGTGGCTTCGGCCTCCCCATGATGTTCTCAAACTCAATATAGATGACTGCTCTAAGGGCAATCCAGGTGTTAGTAGTGGAGGAAAGGGGGTGCTGAGAGATGAGTGGGGCAAGTTGCTTCTGGCTTTCTCTTGTCATTTTGGATTGGCTACTAGTATGCAGGCCGAAGCTCGAGCTCTTCTTTTTGGAGTGGATTTGTGCCTGTAGAGAGGCTTTGGTTGCTTTGAAATTGAACTAGAGTCGTTAATTCTAGTACAAATTTTAAATGGGAAATCTAGTTGGCCATGGAGTATTTACAATGAGGTGCAGCAGCTATTTGCTTTTTCAGCTCATTTTCCACAGATTAGTCCTTGTTTTCGTCAGGTGAACCAAGTTGCCGATGTTTTAGTGAATGTAAGGTGTTCTCATGTTGGAGAGGAGATTTATTTTGCAATCTCATCTTTACCACCGCTAGCTAGAGGAGCCATGTGTCTAGATAAGTTAGGCATTGCGTCTATTATGAAAATTCCGCATAAGCATGTATGGGAGTAGTATATATGGCTTTGTTTGGACTGATAATATTTCATTTTTAATATTTTGGAACAGTAAAATCAAAATGTTAAAGAGTTTCTTGACTGAATAATTCAGGAAACTTTTTCAGTCTCAAAACAGTAAAGCACTTGGAAATTTTTCAAACCGTTGTCTTGTGTCAGGGAGAAGCCGACAAATAAGCCTAGTCTTTCTCTCTTCTTCTTTACTCCCCCTCTTCATCACCCCCAACCTCTCACTGACATATCATTATCTCAGACGTGGGTTTTGTAATTGTTCTGCCAAGGAAGTAACCAGCAAGTTGTGAAGTCATGTTGCACTAACAAGAAGAACGGATTTGAAGTAGCTGTCAAATTTGGCTTCGATTAAGCTTCAGCAGCGATAAAGCGGCTTTTTTTGGCACCGATAATTTGAATCTAACTCGTATTTAATTGTGTGCGTGGCTTCCAAATTTTGAGCCTCAAGGTACGTTTCCCTAGTCTTGCGGATCAAAATGGGATTTTTTCTTCCAATTTCTTCTGATCCATTCCAGTTTGGCATTATGTTAAGAAGCGAATGGGTATCTGTAGTGCCTGAGTCTTCTTTTTGTACTGTAATTAAGGTTCGGTAGCTCCATGGGCAAAATTAGGTTCCCTGAAACATATGCAAATTGTTTCAGCATGAATATGCAGCAGTATTTGATTCGTCGATTTCCTTCGCAGCGAGGGCTTGTTCTTAACTCATTTTTATTTATGAAATGGTATTTAATTTTGAAATGGGTTACTAATAAATACAGTAAAATGCCAATGAAAAGCTGGTACTTCGTTTATATAATAGAGGAAAGGCCTTAAGAGCTGGTACATTATTGAAAGAAAAATGCTTATTACGTTTTCAACCCTCTTATTCGTTAGAAATTTTATTTTTATTTTATCTGTTAAATAAATTAGTTTTTGGAAAAATGGGTACTTTGTTCATATAATTGGGGAAAGTCGTAAAGCGCTGGTATTTTATGGGATAATGGGTATTACCTCATGTAACCCAAAATTTGTCACACTATTTCACCAACTTACAAAATACATGTATGGCAAATTTTGCGTTACAAGGTCTACCGGAATTTACTCTGATTTTATCTGTTAAATAAATTAGTAATTTGTTGGATTCAAACATAATTAATTTTTTCTTTTGCATTTTTGTAAAAAATTAACCAAAATTTTTTTTCTGAAACACAAAAATCGATAGGTCAAAAGGGTTGGTCTAAAAGGGAAAGGAGCAACTCATTCTCATTGTTTGAAGTACTAAACAAAATAAAATAAAATGCCCCTAAAAAACTGGTACTTCGTTCACAAATGAAGGAACGCCATTTTGGCTAATTAATACTTGCAAGGATAGAATATAGTGTCCAAACGCGAATTCTATATTGTATTCTCATTAAGTTGACTATTTATACGGGATTGAGTTATTCTTCCGATCAAAACTATTTGACCAAATAATCACAAATTATTCAATAGCATACTCATAATCCATACACAACAGATTCTATTTCTTATTTTTGCATCATAAGTTGGATTCACGCTCATTTTCTTGGTGATTTATAAAATAAAATAGGGGTTGGCATTCCTTCCCGTGGTTGGGATTAGCCAAAAAAAAAAGGATAGTCTTGAAGTTTTTGTAACTTTTTCTTGTTATTGCTTCAATTTTCTATGCATTTTTTGTATTTTTCAAATTATTTTTGAAAAAATATATGCAATAGGTTTGATACATGTTAAAAAAAATGTAGAGACCAATAATAGCAAGGTCAATAATGGTAGAATTCATTTTAAATAATTATAAGAAAATTATCAAAGTTATGCAATTTTCTTGTTCCTCTATAATAAAAAATTTTAAATTTTTAGTTCATGTTGGAAAACAATAAACCAGATTAAAGTTTTTCTTTCTTGTTATATTACATGGCAATTAGGGTAATTAGGTGGCAACAACAACATCATTATAGGAATAAAATTTGAAAGTGAATCACATTGGAAATATTTTTTAGAAGGAGTGTTATTTTGGCAAAAAAAACTCCAATCTCTTGATTGATCCGCAAATATGAAAGCCTAAATAATATATGAAAATTGTCCCTTTAGATTCATAAACAAAGAAAACATCTCATAAAAATTACTCCAAATTTGTGGCATCTACGAAATCTTATTGCTGAATATGCATTTTTCCATAATGTTCTTGCTGGATACGCATCTTTCCATCAAATTCTTAGCTATTAGCTAGCTTCTTACACCGATAATATACAACTTAGAATTGATATGAATTCTTGCTTTATAGCTATTGGAAAGTTGAAAGCTTCAATTATGGGGACCCCTTGAGTGGATTTTATGGTGAATTGATGCTAATCTTTAGGGTTATAATGTGCTGTAAAAAGTCCCAATTCTTTCCTTTCGAGCTAGTCCAATTTCGTCTCCAGTTTGCCCATCAAATTTAGTTATTTTTACAATTTTAAGAGGAGTCACATATGCACATCAACTTCAATTGTTTTTACAATTTTAAGTGGAGTCGTGTGTGACTTTTTGCACCGGATCAATGATAGGATGTGAAATTTTGCTTTTTCTTGGGGGAGTGAGCAGATAGAAGGACCAAATTGGCTGCAAAAAGTTGGGGGAAAATTTCAGCTGTAAAAAATAATTGAGGGACAACGTTGTCATTTGCCCAAAATTCAACTCTCTCTTTCTGACAGCTTGCACTTTAGTGAAACACTCATACAAAAAACTGTGAGTTATGAAAGGGGGAGAGTGCCTGCCAATGCTATAACTATCAAAACCCCAAAAATCACAAAAACGAACCAAAACCCAGAAAGTATAAATCAAAGAAACCAAACAAATAAATAACGAAAATCGCCCCTTTATTCAATTTCGTCAAGAAATACCCTAGTTTCATATGTTCGATTTGACGGATTTCAATTGAGGGGGGTTTTTTTTTTTGTTTAATAAGATTGAGAAATGGGCGCAAGTCGAAAGCTGCAGGGAGAAATCGATCGGGTTCTTAAGAAGGTTCAAGAAGGCGTCGATGTATTCGACAGCATTTGGAACAAGGTTTTTCTAATCTATGATTTTAACTGTGTTTGTTGGCGTTTAGTTATTATTATTATTATCTGTGCTTAATTGGTTTCATTGCATGTAGAGTGTTTTTGTTCATTTGCCAATTTTTTCGTGAGTGTAGGTTTATGATACGGACAATGCGAATCAGAAGGAGAAATTTGAAGCGGATTTGAAGAAGGAAATTAAAAAGCTTCAAAGATACAGAGACCAAATTAAGACATGGATCCAATCCAGTGAAATTAAGGATAAAAAGGTGACTTTTTTCCCCACTGCTTCCTGGTTTTTGCTCTTCTTCTTATTGCTGTTGTTTAATTAGTTTCTTGAACAGTAAATTCTCTGGAATTTGTTCATGCATGCATAGCAAGGCTGTAAAGAATTTGACCCTTTTTATATAGGGGTTAATTTTTTTTTTTTTAAAGATTTTGGGAACTTGAATGAAATTTGGCTTTCTTCTCATCCTTCTCTTTCTTTATGGTAATCCTAATTCTGGGATTGTAGGGAATGCGATGTTAATTACATTTCATGTCTGATCTTTAGATAAGTGCATCAAGTTGGGTTTTTATTTTTTTGACTAATGTGTAATTTAATAGCATGACTCATTAGAACAAGTTCCTTTGATGGTGAAGAGTCAATGTTTTCTAGCAATTGAAGTTCTGCATTATTTTTGCTGCAATAGAAGAAATGACATCCTTAAATTCAAAAAGGAATTGGTCTTACCATTTTGGAGTTGGATCTTTATGAAGATTTTAAGCATGGACGTTATGAACTTCTGACTTATTTAAACATCTGCTTTGTTTTAGTTTTAATGTTTTGGTTTTAATGAAATATACCAATTTATGATGTACGACCTTGTCTGTAAGGTGCTTGAGTCAGTTGCACTGATTATACATTTATGTTGAGTTTATCTACTTGCTTTCTTTTTTCTTGTATTGCAGCACTACTTTACCTTCATTTGTCTGTTGTCGGTCCTGTTCAGTCACTTTATAATATCTTTATGTATCTTAGGTTAGGTTATTTTTGAACCTCTCAACTCATGCAGAAGTTGACCATAAGTGTTTTTGTGATACATGTTTTCTTATATTTGTATATGTTGATTAAATTGGAGATATTTTGAATCTCATAAATCATGCAGAAGTTGACCATAAATCTTCTTGTGATACGTGTTGACATAGGTTAGTGCCTCTTATGAGCAGGCTCTTATGGATGCTCGGAAGCAAATTGAGCGTGAAATGGAACGATTTAAAATCTGTGAGAAGGAAACTAAAACAAAAGCATTTTCAAAAGAAGGCCTGGGCCAACAGCCTAAGACGGTAAGCTTTCTGGCACATGATTTCCTCTGATTCTTCACTTTGATCTTGGTAATTTTCTCATATCACCCATCTTCATGTATATCTTTCAATTAGCATTTTTTCATGTGCAATTCATTTAATGTACACCATGGCCAGTTTTACATTCCACATTTTTTCCCTGTTTTTGTTTGGTTATTACTTTGAACTTCTTTTTTTGTGGGTGATTTGTTTTTTTTGGGGGGGGGGGGGAGCTTGGTGCCTGTGGTAATGTTGATCTTTGTAGAGTTGAAAAATTTTCATATGAATTTATAAAAATTTCTGAACCTGTTCACTATATTTAGCTTCATCAGATGTTTCATTTATGGTTTTCCATGCATATTCTTATGATAGAGTTTTAGGATCATCAATCTAGAACCCTGAGATTATTTTGATCTATTTGTGCTGCCTATTTGTCCATCAGTGGTTTTGCTTATTGTCGAACGTTATTCAATTTCATTGTAGGATCCGAAGGAGAAAGCTAAATCAGATACAAGAGATTGGCTGAACAATGTGGTATGGATCTGACACTTTGTCTTTTGCTGTAATATATGTTTAATTGGAAACAATATTGGTTTTGTGAAGATATGCTTCCATTTTGAATTATTGGAAGTTCTTAGATTTCATGCTTTCATTTTCATTCTTTTATGGTGATGCAAATCCATGCTACCTTCTTGAAACTTTCTGAGAAATGGTGTTCTTTGAGAAATTAGTTGTTTCACTTGTTTATAGCCAATAAGTTGCTATTGACTGATGGTTTTCCAGTCTCTTCATGTTTTCAACAACTGCTTATGATTATTTGGTTTAACTTTTAATCTTCTGGGCAATATATTATGCATTGTCTTTCAATTCGCATTTTATTTTTGGTTGATGTTGTTTCTGTTTTTACTGCTAAGTTTGTCTTTACTATATGCCTGTAATTTCTTTGAAATCATTAAGGTTTTTAGTACTTGTTTTCCTTTTGTCCGTGAGTAGGTGAGCGAACTAGAAAATCAAATTGATAGCTTTGAAGCTGAAATCGAGGGTCTCTCTGTAAAAAAAGGGAAAACAAGGCCTCCTAGACTGGTAAGGGATATGAATTTATCCTATTAATGTGCATGTGATTTCTCATTGGCCTATATCATTATTGATTGAAGAATTATTTTATTTATTTTTTCTCCTGCAGACACATTTGGAGACGTCAATTGCTCGACACAAGGCTCATATAATGAAACTAGAATTGATTTTGAGACTACTGGACAATGATGAATTAAGTCCTGAAACAGTTAATGATGTTAAAGATTTCTTGGACGATTATGTTGAGCGTAATCAGGTTATCTATCTGAATATTTGGCAGCTTTCGTATGCATTCTGAAGTAATTAGCTAGCGCAGAATGCATTATTCTCATTCAAGTACTTATAATGTAATCATCCTTTGTGTGCTAATTTTCAGGTGGCAAAGAATAATAATCTGCTATAATGATGATCATCTGTTGAATGTTATATATGGTTCTCTGATAGGATTTCCATTTTGTGTATCCTGTCAGCATGCCTTCACTGCTAGCTTTCCTGTTTGACTGGCATTTCTATTGTGATTCAAGAGATGATCATACTTCTTTTGTAGGAGGATTTCGATGATTTCGATGATGTTGACGAGCTTTACAGCTCTTTACCTTTAGACAAGGTGGAGTCTCTTGAAGATTTAGTAACAATTGGCCCTCCTGGTCTTGTTAAGGTAAAAATTATATTTGCCACTTTACCCTATGTTGTTGATTTAACATAAGGTGTTTTGTCAATTGGCTTTTTGTTTTTCCCTTGAAGATTTAAACTTGGTAAATATACTTGTTGAAAGAGCCTTGTTTATATTGAAATGTAGTAATTGTACAATTACACTCACGCAATAGTTTAGTAGGAGTTTTGAGTTGTCTTGCACTTTTGCTAGCTCGCAGAACTGTTTGACGTTTCTTATTGTTCTCCAGGGTGTCAGTGCCTCCAATGCAGTTTTAAGCATGAAAAATCATTTGGCTACACCTGCTGCTCAAGTACCTGTATGTTTTTGCCCCCCGTCCCTAATTGTTAAGCTGCTTTTAATTCTGATAAAGGAGTCCTTTTGAGATCTTGTCTTGAATGTCCTCATGTTCTTTTCCACTCTGCATTTCCGAAGGGGAATGTTTATTTCTGGAGCAGCTTCAGACCCACTGATTCCATTGCTAGATGATGGATGTATTTGGAAAAATTAGTTGAACTAAAAGTTTTGATATTAGAGGAATCAGTACTTTTGATTGACATTTGTAATAGCTTGTGATAGTTCGTGGTCTGGTTTGCTGAATAATTTTATTGGTCATGACACTTCGAATCTAGGCATTATATGAACAGTTTGGATTAGTTTTCCATCTTTCTTTTCTGAAACAAAATAATATTTCTTTATTGAAAACTGAAAAAAATGAAAGAAAGGAGGATTATGGCACTTGACTTTGATAATTGGCATTTAATGGCTGTGCAAAATATGTCCTTTTTCTTATTTGAAGACAAAATACTGAATTTTTAAATATAGAAATTCTTGTATAAAAATCTACTGAAGGATAGACAGCAGTTATTAGCATTATTGGCATATGATGACATGTTAGGAGATGTGTTCTGTCTTTGTAGCGTCATCATGGGATGATCATTTCCATAAAATTTGCTGAGTTTCTACCCTTTCACGTGTTTCTGTTATATAGTTTATATCATGTTTCACAAAATTGGTTGACCTATTCATACTTCGCAGCAGGTTCCTAGTTTGTTATTGTTGCAATCTCTTCATTTGTTGATATGGTCACGAACTGTTGATGTTTGTTGACTCAAGCTAACACTGAGAAACTCTGTTAGTGGTTCAACTTTTTGAATTTGATTCTCCAGTTCTGTAGGAATTTCTCTTTTATCACTGGGATGGAACTAAGCATTCCGAGATTTCATTGTGCAGCAGTTTTGTCCAAAGAGTAATGAAACCTGGGCATTAACTGTTATTGGGCGACCAAAGTGGGAAATTGAAGTAGACTATTTTCTTCTCTCTGTGCTTTTTTTTTTGGGGGGGGTGGTGGCGCTTAGTAATTGGGCGGTACTGAAATTTGTTTTGGTTTAGTTCAAAACTGGTCAATAGATATAATAAAGAATCAGTATCCTATATCATGGTGAAGGATGGACCAATTAGAGGTTTTGCCAGCTGAGGAGTTGTTAGTGGACCGTAGCTACATGTTAGTGGTTTAAAGTTTTGGAAGTTTGTTCTTCAGTTCATCCCTTCCTTTAGTGGTGCGTGGTCGGAAGCCTTCATTAAGCTTTAATTACACTTTTCTTTTGTTAGCTATGGCATTGTAGCCGCTGCTGGTATACCTATTCTCTCTCTCTCTCTCTTGCCTTTTGGTATTTGTTTCGCTTATCGTCTTATTCATCCTTCGAGAAAGCTCTTAGAGAATCTAATACATTTTTTTGTAATCATATATTTAGGCTACAGCTACATCTGCCAATCAACAAGGCGCTTCTCCCCAAGAGCAAGTTGAGGAAACGGCAACCCAGGACACTACTGATACTGTTGCAAGGACTCCCCCTCCTAAAAGCAGTTCAGCTGCTGCTTCTGCTCCACCAACACCAGTAGGAAGCCATTCCAATCCTGGTATTGTGAAAGCTACAAGTGACTTCGTTGGTGCATCAACTGCTTCCTCTGGTCATTTGGGTTCAAGTTCTTCAACTGGTCTCTTAGATAATGCAGGCGTTCCATCATCTCCTGTAAGTGTCCCTTATTCAGTAAAGGAAGAAGACATTACAAGTTTCCCTGGCCGTAAACCTTCCCCAGCTCTTGCTGAAGTTGGGCTACGAGGTGTTGGTAGAGGTGGATTATCCAACCAACCATCAAGTAGTGTCCCTATCAGTTCTGGAAGCACAATTTCGAGCAATGGAGCCCTTGGTAGTGTAACGTCAGGTTCTGAAATGGCAAAAAGAAACATGCTTGGAGCTGAGGAAAGACTTGGAAGTAGTAGCATGGTGCAATCACTTGTATCTCCTCTTGGTAATAGAATGATCTTGCCACAGGCTGGGAAAACTGGTGATGGAATTGGCTCAGCTGATGCTGGGAGTGTTGGTGAGGCTGCATCTATGGCTGGGAGGGTGTTATCTTCTTCTGTGGTTCATGGTATACAATGGAGGCCTGGAAGTTCCTTTCAGAACCAGAATGAGGTGGTATGTGGTTCTGCTGTAAGCTCTTCTGTTTTGGCTGATTTCAATTTACCATTCTTGCTTGCATGGTATATTTTTTTTGTGCAAGCTGAGAATCGAAGTGGAAAACCTGTTGTTGAAATTTTGCTTTAATTGGTTTTTACTTCTATAAGATGTATTTGATTGAATAATGGCCTTATGCAGTGTATCTTTTGAACTTTCAGCATATTCTTATGTAACTTAATTTTTTTTTTATAGCAACTGCTGGGCTGTTTTCCAACCCAATTTTTGTACTCCCTGTTGTCACGGAAATTGTAATTGTTATTAACAGTGCATAGTTTTTGAAAATTGTAATTATTACATAAGAAGTGTGGAACCATGAAGTTGTTTTTCAATTTCAAAATATTATCGCTGAATAACACATGCAATCAAGCCATTTAGTTGCTTTACCTTTGGTGGCTTTCATGAACTGTGCACGTGTTTTTCCTTTTCTTTTTTGTTTTCCTTGGTAACAATTAGTGGGCCGATAAAAGGCAAATGAATTGATTTTTTTAAGTGTCTTGAGGGTAAAAGTAGATTTTGAATGGGAACATGTTAGTCAAATGAAGGCAAGTGATATATTTTCGGATAACCTAAAAAGGACAGAATGACTATCAATGGGAGGAAGGCACTATTTCTTTATCAACTTTTATCTTTCACATTCTACTAATTGGAATCATTTACTTCGCTTCACACAATTTAATTGAATGCAGTTCATCTGCATTTTTAAATTCTATCACGATACCCATACCCTTGATTTTGAAGCCCCGAAGCTATTTTAATAAAAGAAAGTTACGCAATTCGTAATTAATGGGACTTTTGAAGATTGAGAAATGAATTATGATATGAGAACTATCTGCAATGAAGATAATGACTGTTTCATTGGGATTGATGAATTATTCCTTGATCCAATTCTACCTTTGACATTCTTCTAACTGGATTTTGCCTAGTTGCACAGTTTAATTAAATGCAGTTAATCTATGTATTTAATTTATTTCGCGATACCCATACCCTTGATTTAGAAACCTTGAAGCTATTTTTACAAAGGAGCGATAGTTCTGGAACTCAAGCATAATAGGACTTTTGATGGTGGAGAAATAAATCATTGTATGGTAACTATTAGAATGGATCAAACCGTATAATATGGGTTTGTGGTAAAAAACTTAATTGGCTTAGTAATGACTGTTATGTATAATGTGTGAAATATATTTGCATGGTCTTTTGGTTTGACATATTTGAGTCTACAACTGATAATATACTTTCTTAGGGACAATTCCGTGGAAGAACTGAAATTGCTCCTGACCAGAGGGAGAAGTTTCTGCAGCGGTTTCAGCAGGTTCAGCAGGGTCAAACTAACCTTCTTGGCTTGCCTCTTAGCGGAGGGAATCATAAACAATTCTCTGCTCAGCAACAGAATTCCCTCTTGCAGCAGGTGATCTTTCTGCTTTCTTGACTAGAAGTTCTTCCTGTTACTTAGTTTCCTGTAACTGTCTGTACAAGTGGGCTGGTATATGTACACACAAATATTTTCCTTTGGCACATGTTACTTTTTTAAGCATGATGGTACACCATCATTGCAGAGATAATAACATAGAATGAAGCCTATCCTACTTCTGCCGTCCTTGTTTGTTGTATCAATGAATGTCTACCAAAATGAAAAGGAATAGTAGGCTGTTATGATCTGGGTAAACTATGTGTTAAAGTGCTTAGATTCCCTTCATTTTGAAATTTACAGCTGTAAAAATGGCTAGAAACTGCATGTAAACATAAATCTATAATATGGTACATATCCATATATATATATATGTAAAAGACATGCACATACAAACACATGATCAAATTAAGTGTACACATCCGTGTTGATACGATGAAGGAGAGAAGAAAAAGTTGTGTTAGGTGGGTTGTAGTCAATGCTAACTCGAATCTGGAATTGGATGAAATTTCATGAAGGATTTATGGCTCGCACATTGCCGTGAAGAGCTAAATTTGGCCAGCATTCTCCATTGACAGTTTGAATGGTCTGATAGGAAAAAATTTTAAAAAAAGAAGACAAGAAAGGTGGTGGTAGAGCGAACGATGAGTAAGAATTAACAAAATATAACAATTTGGCGAAAGTAGAAAGATGATAATAATAATAATAATAATCAACAGATGGATTAGCACGTGATAAGATAGAGGTAACTGTTGTAACAGAACAAGAGACCATAGGATCTTTAGGGGATGAATTAACTGTAAGACTCCTCTCTTAAGTATAAATTAGGGAAGGAATGAAGGACTGAAATTATGGATATGCGACGATCAAGACAATCCCCATGGATTAGGTATATCATGGCGAAATAATTAAAGCTAGCCCTAGGCCGGCATCACCTATAGCAACTTGTTCATTATACAGAATTTAATGCTCCTGGGCAACTTGAACTTTTTCCTATAAGGGATATATAGTTCTATGGATAAAATCTTTATCTTAAATGACATTTATTTTATCAGCAATCAATGCTCATTAATTATTTGATGATTGCTTTTTGGTGATAAAACTTCACCAAAGAACCTATAGAGCTGTAAGAGTTTGCAATCGCTAGATTAGTGAATCTGCTCTCTTTGCCTGGTCTGATTTTTTCTCTCTTTCATCCCTTTTTCAAAAAAGATACGCGGGGGCCCTGGTTGGAAAGCTTGACTTTGTCATGTTCTATGGCAGATGGGAGGTTGTTCTGTTCTAGAGCCATCTTTTTCATAATTGTAAAATACTGCTGATAAATCATATGAGCTAGCACTTCCGTATCCATATAAAACTTTTTGATTGTGTCCCTGTATATCGCTTTTGGAATAGTATCTAATCTGACATTAGACACATACCAGTTCTGACACCGATATGTCAGTCTATGTAACATAGTTTATAAAAGTTACAAGGATTGTAGGCAAGGTTTATCTGGAAGATGAATGAGTTAGGAATCAGGTGAAATTTGTGGGCAGTGCTCACGTGGCTTGAAAAGATAAATGAACTAGTTGCTGAAAGAACTTTTGATATCAGTGGTGGAAAGAGCAAAGTCCAGGCAAAAGTAATTGCTGTGTCTGCCGATTTTTTTCTACTAGCTATGTTGTGTCCTGAGACATCTATCGACCTAAAAGTCCCTAGTTTATTTGATTGTTAGGAGGCTTTGTTTCTTTTCTTTTTATCTCAAGCGGTATAGCCTTCCCCACTGTCCCAAACTTAGCTAGAGACTGTTGACATGAGTGCTGTTGCACAATTAAGTTATTGTTGTAGATATGCTGTAAAAGTTCATAGTGCTTGTTTAATTGAATGGTGAACAGATATAAAATGCTAACCATAAGAGAACAGAAGTCATTTTGTTCTTGACCCCGAATTTTATATGTAATGTCATAATTGATGACTTGTTACATGTGATGAGATTCTTTTTAGTGTCATGTAATTATGAATGATATTTTCAGTTCAATTCCCAAAGCTCCTCTATCTCGCCTCAACTTGGGGTTCAACCAGCTGGTCTTAACAGTGTTCCATCATCTCCCTCATTGCAGCAGCAGCCCATTCCAATCCATCAGTCGTCAAGTCAGCAGACTCAAATATTGGCAGGGTCTAGAGATGCTGGTATTCTGAATTACAGCATCAGCATTATACTTAGTTTTTGATTATGCATCATTAGCTTTTTACAAGATTAGTCAGTTTCTTTCAAGCATTCATTTTCTTTGACAATTTGGCTGTATTTAACCTCTAATGTTATGCAACCTTTCCAAAATGGAAATTTACCAAGAATCCCATACTTGTCAAAATGTATATATTTGGTGAATGTATGGTGTCAATTGAAGTTTTTAGTTTATATCTCAAGGATTTGTCTAGAAAATGCCTGGTATATTGTGCATCAAAGATCTGGGATTTATGGTCAGGAATGAGGGAGCAGTGGAATTTTTATATGCGTATGTATCATTCTAAACTTTCCTGGTATCCATTTTGTGGTCAAATTTATTGCAACTTAATTGGCTCCAATGTGGAGACTGCACACTTATCTTAGTTTGCAGCAATTAATAATATCAAGGTAGCATTGTAGGAGCAATGTTTTACATTGTGGTTTCGCTGTTGATATACTTATTAGGTGCACCAAATTTTTGGGGGGTGAGGGGAAGGGGGAGTGGGGAAAGAAAATGTGCTTGTTAGGTTTTCCACACTGGGAAAGGTGAAATAGTTCTCTCTGTATCACAGTAATGGTTTGCTACTTTTGTGGCCATTGTATTATTAGAATATACAAATGTTGAATGAAGATACTTTGTTTCCAACTACAGATGTTGGTCATGCAAAAGTGGAGGAGTTGCATCAGCAACCTGCAGTATCTGAGGATTCTTCTGAATCTATTGGAAACTCTGGACTTGTGAAGAATCTGATGAACGAGGATGATATGAAGGCTTCATATGCGTTGGATCCTCCGGTATGTATATTTTGTTTTTATTATTCTTTCCAAAAACTTTTCTGACGTTTTGAAGTAGCTTTATGACTAGTGCTGGTTTTTGCAAAGATTTTGGCTATTATACACAAATGATTAGCTGATTTTCAATAGTATAGATAAATTCAAAGTTGCAAATATTGTGGACATCCTTTGAGTATTTGTATTCAAAATCGTACTACAAATGCTGCATGGTCTAGCATCCCAGTGACTCAATTTGTAAACAGTCATATTCTTATCCTCTTGGACTTTGTATTGCTACAATAATCACAAGCATGCTCCATGGCTGAGCTCCTAGCAGCTCAATTGATGCGCTGAGGGCAGTGTAGGTGGAGTTTGTATTGTTGTGGACACATTGATTTTGTACATTTTCTGAGATCAAATTCATGAATATTCTGTAATAGGTTTCTTGACTTAGGTTATGCACAAAGAATTCATCAAAAGCTCCGTCAGGAAGGCAACAACTGAGTGGTGCCAAAAATTTAAGCCTAAGTAGTAAATTGTCGTGCCACTTGCTTTAGTTTAGTATTGCTATTGGATTCTCTCTACATAGTTGTATTTTAGTGTACGCTAGAATCACTTATCAGATGCTCTTAGTACTTGATTGTTTGCATTCAACATTTATTTATCTGAAACGCTCAAACTCACATTCTCTAAATGATTGTTTGGGGAGTGGTAGCTTGCTGGATAGTGTCAAGCTGAGTTAGGAGAGGACACATGTATATCCCACGTTGTAACAAGTTTTACTAATAGGTTTGCAGGGACACTAAAGTTAACACCCATATATTCCACCATATAGCAACCTTCATTTGAGAAGCCGCTTATAAAACTTGGCCTACTTATTCTGGCAAGATTTCCTTGTAATTTTGTCATTAATTTTGTGATTTCTTGATTGAATCTAGGGTTTTGCTGGATCAAACAATAGTCTTGCAAGTCCAGATCTTTTGTGACTTTGCAGTTATGAAGTTCTGGAGTGAGGTCCATTATTGAACATAGTCATATGCTGTTATGCTCAAGGATTATCTTTAGGTTGAATGAGAGAGCACATAGATTTATCTAAATAAGTGTATTTTCGCCTGTGTCCTTTAGCAGTAAGTTTATCTTGGCTTTGCTTTGTCTTCAGTCTTCTGAATTTATCTGATGAATATAATGCTTTGAGTATTACAGAACTGGTGTTTAAACATGAGGATATTGGTAAGAGATAAAGTTTTTGGAGGTTGAAGGACTCGCTGACGTAATTGTAAAAGTTGCATATGTGGGATATTGTATTTCTCTAGTATTGTAAACTTCTGGTTAATTTTCTAGGGTGGATGGTGAATGGAGAGACATACATGGATTGATCACGAGGAGTTCTAGGAGAGACAGGGGTTTCGTGAAGATTCTTTCTCCTAGTCTCTGCAACTGTCTCCTTATAACACCAATGGCCTTCGAAAAATTTTAGATTCTTTCTTTCAAAATATGCTTATGAGAAAACTGTTGAGGCACTGTTTTTGGGTGATTTTCCAGTAAAAGGGATTTTAAAATGGGCAAAGATAGAAGTCAGAAAATTTTCATAAGAGACCTTCCTACGACTATCAATGCTAATCTTGAGCAGAAATTTGCACATCACAAGTCCAAAGTCAATTCTGATTTTTTAACAAAACAGTAAAATAGATAAAACTCCATTTTGTTCGCATCTGTTCTATGGCCATCAGTGGGCACCAACAGATTTGAAATGATGGTAAAAGTGATCAAGTTCTGAGAGCTAAGATCTTCTAATCTTGCCTCAGCAGGGGTGTTGAAGTGCAATCAAAAATAGGTCATGAGTTTAGCAATGTGAAAATGATGATAAGCGGAAGGATATTCCTCATATGAAAAGAATTTTGCAACTTTTCCTTTAAACCATTTTCAATACTTGTTTTCATAATAGAGTTCACAATGTCAGGAGTTAACGTGATGTCTACAGAGTTGACCCTAGAGATGAGTTTTATATGTGAATTACTCTTTCTGAGATTTGCAAAGAATTGATGAAGCATATCAGGGTAAAAAGTATTGGGGATGGACAGAAGATGAACCCATTTTTGAACTCAAAAAGTTTAATGATAGGTTCGAGGTCAAGCTTACGAAATTCAAAAGGAGAAATAGTCCTTTGAGTGATGAATCCCTTTTGTGAGACCAATTCAAATCTGTCTCTGACCTCATCATCAATGAATTTTGGCAGAGGAGTAGGTTCCTTGGCAGGCTGAGTCTTTGATTCCTTTGCAGAACGTTTCCTTTTTGCAGTTTGCTTAGCAGACAACTCAGTATTCTGAACCTCAATCCTTGTCTGTGGAGATTTTCTGGTAGATGATTCAGGGGTGTGCTGATCCTCAGCATTTTTCTGTGCATTTGATTGAGCAGTGCTTCTTTTTTGGGCAGTTCTTTTTCTTTTCCCAGGTGATTTCGTGACAGTTACTTCAGCATGGGTGGGCTCTTCCATTTCTTCTGCATTCCTACTAAATGGATTTTCTTCAGAGTGATGCTCTTCCATCTGCTCATCAGATGGCTCAACAGTTGGAGCATCTCGCTTCCTTTGAGCAGTTTGCTTCACCTTTCCACCTCGATTAGCAGTTTTCTTTTTGAATGCTTTGCTGGAGGGTTCCACAATATCAATATCCTCATCCCTAAGTCTAAAAGAGTGTCTGACCCCCGCAAAACCGCCTCTAATTCTAACTATGATGTAATGTAATTGGATGTTTATGTAGGGAGTGGTGCAGAATGTATGAGATAGATGAAGAATGCAATATGAACTAATGTTGATGCACGAACCAATCACAAGGAGTAAGTTTTGAGAACTTAGGGTTTCGGATGCGAATTGGGAATTATGAGGCAGTTGGAAGTTGGAAGAGGTTATTATGTCAAAATAACGAGCAATACGAGTGTAATGGTGTCGATTGAATCAATTTCTTGGAACTTGATTAGAGGAGAGAGTAATTTAAAATTTGAATTTTGAGAGAAAATTGAAGGGTTGCGTCCGAGACTAAGAGAGTAAATGAACTTAATGAGGTAGGTGACTTCCTTATATGAAGCAATTTTTGAGTGTCGGACGGCCGAACAAAGTGAAGCGTCCGACGCAACCGTCCGAACCCGAATTTTTCTGAAAAAGGGATGAAGAACACTGTCGGACGTCCTTTCTAATCCATCGGACGTCCGATAAAGAGTGACCAAAGAGAAACTTAGAGAATTTTTTCTGAAACACCCAGTTTTGTTCTTAGATACACAAATTGATCCAGTGGAAGGGCTTTGGTGACGATATCAGCAATTTGATCTTTAGAACAAACATATTGAACACAAATTTCACCCTTGTGGATAAGATCGCGAATGAAGTGATGCTTAATGTCTATGCTTGGTTCTAGAATGTTGAATGGGATTTTTTGTCAAATTGATGGCACTAGTGTTGTCACAAAACATAGGCACACAATTATACACTAAACCAAAGTCATTCAATGTGTTTTTCATCCACAACAATTGAGCACAGCAAGCACCAGCAGCAACATATTCTGCTTCGGTTGTAGACAAAGAAATAGCATTCTATTTCTTGCTGAACCAGGATACTAAGCAATTTCCAAGGAAGTTATATACACCAGTTGTACTTTTTCGATCTACTCTACAGCCACCAAATCAGCATCAAAGAATCCACACAAGGGAAGTTCATGACACTTAGGATACCAAAGGCCAAAATTCAAGGTTCCTTTTAAGTATCTAAAGATTCTTTTTACCACATTTAAATGTGATTCTTTGGACAAGACTGAAAACGAGCACACAAGCACACAGCAAACATGATATCAGGCCTACTAGCTATTAAGTAAAGCAAGCTACCAATCATACATCTATACTTCTTTTCATTAACTTTTGTACCTTATTCATCTTTGTCAAACTTGGTAGATGTGCACACGGTGTTCTAATTTGCTTTGAATCCTCCATTCCAAATCTTTTTAGCTGTTCCTTGGTACATTTGGTTTGATTGATGAATGTTCCATCTTGGGTTTGTATCACTTGGAGTCCAAGGAAGAAATTTAATTCTCCCATCATGCTTATTTCAAATTCTTTTTGCATGATTTTGAAAAAGTCCTTGCACAAACTCTCATTAGTAGCATCAAATATAATATTATTCACATATATTTGTACAATTAGAAGATCACGTGAACTTTGTTTAGTGAAAAGAGTAGTGTCTACTATGCCTCTTTTGATGTCATTTTCAATCAAAAAACCACTCAAACGTTCATACCATGCTCTTGGAACTTGTTTTAATCCATATAAGGCTTTTGAGAGTTTAAAAACATGATTTGGATAAATTTCATTTTCAAAACCAGGAGGTTGATCGACATAAACATCTTGATCTATAAGGCCATTTAAGAAAGCACTTTTAACATCCATTTGAAATAATTTAAAATTCTTGAAACATGCAAAAGCCAAAAACATTCTAATAGATTCTAACCTAGTTACAGGTGCAAATGATTCATCAAAATCTATTCCTTCTTTTTGAGTATATCCCTTAGCTACCAATCTGGCCTTATTTCTAACTACCTCACATTTGTCATTTATTTTGTTTCTAAAAACCCACTTAGTGCCAATGATAGGATGATCTTGTGGTCTAGCAACTAATGTCCAAACCTTGTTTCTTTCAAATTGATTTAACTCCTCTTCCATGGTTAAAATTCAGAACTCATCTTTCAATGCATCAACAACATTTTTGGGCTCAAAATGTGAGACCAATGCAAAGTTATCTATTAGTTGTCTAGAAGAGGAACGTGTTCTGACCTTTTCGAATGGATCACCAATGATAAGTTCCTTAGGATGGTTTTGGATAAATTTCCAGACTCTTGGAAGATCATTAGGAATGATAGTGTCTCTGTTATTGTCTTCCCTAGCAGGACTGTCTTGATTTTCATATTTCTTTGAATCATTTTCTGATGAAGTTGTGCCTTGGTTACTGATTGTTAGCTTCTTTAGTTCTTCTAGAATACCTGCATCATCATCTTCACCACAACTCATGGAAATGTCACCATTAG